CCGCAGGGGAGAAGCTCCCAGATTGGGTCCAATTCACCTGAGAAGGCCAGTTGAATTTCCTGGTCACATTTTTTTAAATGGATCAATTGTGTTTCTTTTATGTCCCCTTTATATTACAAGTCAGTCTTTTTATTGATTTTTCTTCTACTCATTATGGGCATAAGAAGCCTATATTGCCAGGTGAGATGGTGCACACCTGGAATCCCAGCCACTCTGGAGGCTGAGGCAGGAGGATCACAAGTTCGGGACCAACTTCAGCAACTTAGTGAGACCCTGTCTCAAAAATAAAAAATAAAAAGACCTGGGTATGTGGCTCAGTGGCAAATCATCCTGGGTTCAATTCACAGTATCAAAAAAAAATTATACTTTTTATCTTGAGCATTTCAAGGTAGTAAGAAATATCTTACTATTTAATTTATTTGCTCTTAAGAGGAAATTTTTGCTGCTGAAGGGAATGTCAAATGAGCCCACTTTGGCAAACAGTTTGGCAATTACTCAAAAAGTTAAACATAGCCGGGCACGGTGGCACATGTCTATAATCCCAGAGACTCTGGAGGCTGAGGCAAGAGGATTGAAAGTTCAAGGCCAGCTTGGGCAACTGAGAGAGCTCCTGTCTGAAAATAAAAAATGGCTAAGGATGTAACTCAGTGGTAAAGCACCCCTGGGTTCAACCCCTAGTCACACACACACACACACACACACACACACACACACACACACAAATCATTTGTGACCTAGCAATTCCACTCCTAATTTATGCACAAAATTTTTTATATACAAATTTTATAAGAGTTTATTCTCATTGATTATTATTATTTGTAGCAGCATTATTTATGAATAATAACCAAAACATGAAAATAACCTAATGTCCATTCATGATGAAAAAAATAAGTAAAATGTGGTACAGCTATATAGTGGAATGTTAAGCAATAATAAAAAGAAATCAGGTATAGACACAAGCTACGACACAGATGAATATTAAAAGCAAGACTGGAAGAAGCTAGACAAAATTTTCAAACACACAAACTTAGGAGGGAATCATACAGATAACCCCGGTGTGCCAGCAACCGTCTCTTGACCTTTTGCTATCTATATATATTTTTTTGAGTTATGGGTGGACACAATACCTTTATTTTATTTATTTTTATGTGGTGTCAGGGGTGGGGTGGGTCTGAGCCTTGTCTGGGCCAGACTGAGGAGTCATCTGACCCATAAATGACATTGTGTCTCTGTAAGTGGAAGGTGCACTAAGATTCCCCCGAAACATTCATTTATTCATTCAAAAAATATTTACAAATCTCTGTGCAGGTGCTGGGCAGAGGAGGGCAATATCCCCTTGGCTGAGAGCTTGAGGACAGATGAAAGGGGGACTCATGGAGGAGATGTCCAGGCAGCAGACGATACCACGGCAACACAGACCAGCCTAGAGGAAGAGTGGTCAGGGGAAGGAGTCAGAGCTGGGTGTCCTGTGAAAGTAGGGCCAGCAGGGTTGGCCCATGGATGGATGAGTGTGAAGGAAGGGAAGAAAGAGTCCAAGACCCATCCAAGTTTTTAGCCTGAGTTCCCGGATGGAAGATGAGGAAGCCTAAGACAGGAGTGTGAGTTTGGAAGTCATCCATGCATAGGTGATATGGGAGGCTAGGGATGGCATTCAGTGACGTCTTAAGAAAACTCCTCAAAGGTTTTCTTTAAATGACAAGCTGATTCTAAGGGGCATCCAGAAGGATAAATAACATTAAAAATTTTTAAAAAAGAGAATATTTTGAAAAAGAGAAGTGTTATCTCACTACCATCAGGCTCCCTCTTGAGGGCTCCGGCCGGGTGTAGCCCTGGCCCAGCAGCCATGGTGAGAACAGGAGGCCACTGCTCCAGGTTCCACAGACACCGGTTCCCAGCTCACACGCCTACACAGCTCCCTGCTGTCACTTTGGTCTTGTCCTTCTCCAAGTCCGTATTTTCTTGTCAGCTTGGCAATGTGTTTTTATTAAATGTTTATGATATAATTTATAAGGCTTTTTCTCAGACATGTTCATTGGAAAGGGTCTTCAGCGGCCTCGTTTGCCACAAGAATGGACATAGAAGTTTCACACTGAGTCCTCTGGCCAGAATTCACATTCCTTTTTTTCAAATACATTTATTGGGTTTTGTTCGTGTGTATGTTTGTTTTGGTCGTGGGCATTAAACTCAGAAGCACCCTACTGAGCTACATCCCAGCCCTTTTTTTTTTTTTTTTTCCGTTTTGATACAGGGTCTTGCAAAGTTGCTGTCCTCAAAGTTATGATTCTCCTGCCTTAGCCTCCCAAGTCACTGCAATTGCAGGGTGCACTGCTGCACCTTGCTTATTTATTGTTTTTTTTTTTAATTTTTCAGATGTTATATCTGAACTCTTATTTTTTAGTCTCTGATACCTCTGAACTGTGTTTTAAAACTATTAGATTACAACATATTTGGAGAACTCGATGATTCCAACAACACAGGCAAGGGCAGGTCCTTGTAAACACAGAGATATCTATTCTCAAGGAATCCTTCTGACTCACCTGAGCCCATTCACCAGAGTGGCTCCTCTGACACTTTCCGTCACTGCTGTGTCCATCCAAGGTGGTGTCTGAGGGGGCTTCTGTGCAGAGAAGGAAGTACTTATTGGGGTGTTGGTCAGTATTTAGAGAATTAGAAACTAGGTTGTATTGTTTTGTTTTGTTTTTTTTAAAACAAAAACTTTAGACATAACCTAAAAATCTTAAATTTACTTGTAAATCAAATAATCATTCGTTTTTTACTTAATCTTGAATGGAGACTCAATTAGCTTGTGAATGTGGTAAATTAAATCTCCTAAACTTTGAGCTCCATCTGTGCTGATTCAATTCCCTTAGATACTTCAAACCATGTTTACAAATGGAATATATCTGATTATGCTAAACACTTCAAACTTCAAACCTATATAGCAAGCCAAATTCTAGTAAGCTCTATAGCAACTCTAAAAAGCTAGTGAATCCATCTTGTGTATTTGTTTATATATTTGCTAATTCTGAGGATAGAACCAGGGGTCTTGCACATGGTAGGCAAGTGCTCTACCACCGAGCTATTCCTCAGTCCTCATGATTTTTTAAAAATATATTTAGTTATAAATGGACACAATACTTTTGTTTATTTATTTTTAAGTGGTTCTGAGGATCGAACCCAGTGCCTCCCATGTGCTAGGCAAGCACTCTCCCATTGAACTACAGTCCCAGCCTTCATAATGTATTAAATTAGTTCTCCTTAAGGGTTTAAATGATCTTTTTTTGACATCACAGTATACAAAAAGCAACACACATAGCTAATTTGGTAGAGTGCTTGCCTAGCATGCACAAGGCCTCGGGTTCAATTCCCAGCACCACCACCAAAAAAAAAAAAAAAAAAGAAAAAAAAATACCAACATAATAATGAAAAATGTGTTAAGACACCTGTATAAATAAAACGTTCAAAATGTATCAATACCATATGTTCCAGTTTTCTATGGCTGCACAACAACGAACCACCCATATGTAGTGACTTAAAACAGTAACCAACAAGTATGCTCCTGAATTTCTAGAGATCAGAAATTTAGACAGAACACACCGGGGATGGTCTATCTTCATTTCACAATATCAAGGGCCTCAGCTACGAGTACTGCACTGCAATGACTATGATATGAGGACTGGAATAATCCCCAAACTGTTTTGCTCATGTCTGGTGCCCGGGCTGGGTGGTCTGAGGACCAGGTCCAGCTGGGTCTGTTGGTTGAGCCCCCACACAGGGCTGTCAGATGCCTTCAACCCTTATAGCATGGCAGCCTCAGGGAACCTGACTTATGATCCAGGAGCTCCTGGCTCCAAGAGCACACGCTCCAGCTAGCTAGGTAGAAACTGCTTGGCTCTTTAACGACCTGCCCTTGAAGCCACATTGCCTCTGCCACACTTAATTGGTCAAGCAGTCATAAGCCCTCCGAGATCCAGAGGGAACACAGAATCCTAAATAAGAAGAGCATCAAAGTTCACAGCCATGTTTGAAACCCATCCTGTCCTCAGTCCAAATCATTGCTTCAGTTTGAAGAAATATTACCTGCACATTCATCTACCTGATCAGATCTCAGATCCATTTCAGGAACTGAGGCTATGGATTGTTCATCAGGATCCGGGAAGAGTCTGCCCAAGGCATGAAACCTCTTTGATAAGGACACAGAACTTTCCAGAAACATGCTTTTTCTTATGATCCAAGGCTTCATGTTTTCCTCATGCATCCTTCAAGATTCTCCCTTGCCCACTTTCCTCCCTCACTATTCCTGTAATGTGTGACATATTCAATAGATTTTTTTTTCCCCCTGCTGGGGATGGAACCCAGGGCCTCCCATATGCTTGGCAAGTGCTCTGCCACTAAGCCACATCCCCAGCCCCTCAACTTTTACTATGAAATTTCACCCAACTCTTTTATCAGTTGATGTATCCAAATCGGACTTAGCACACCACATCCTGTTTGCAATCTGTCTCATTCATTCTTTTCCTCAATGAGGTTCTGCCCTCTTCGTGGTTCTCTTCCTGTGTTCGTCTTTGGCCACTCTGTTCTCTCTAGAGTTGTGCCTTTTCATAGACGTCATACAGTTGGCCTGCAACGTAGCCTTCACAGACGGGCTTCCTTAGCAATATGAGTTTCAAGTTTCCTTCGTATCTATTCATGGCTTGATAGCTCCTTTATTTTTATCATTGTACAGCACTCCATTTTCTGGATGTGCTTAGCCAGATTACCCATTCGCCTACTGAAGTACTTCTCCACTGTGTCCAAGTTTGGGCGACAGTGAATAAAGCTGCTATTTCGGTTCATTCCAGTACAGTCATGCACCCCATAATGACAGGGACACGCTCTGAGAGATGCATCCTTGGCTGAGTTCATCATTGCGCAAACATCAGGTACTCACATAAATTAAGGCAGCTCTGACATCACTAGGCCTATAATCTTAGGGGGCCACTGTCGTAGACGCCACGGAAGCAACATGCGGCAGCCCTTGACTATAAATAACCTAGGATAGTGAATGCCGGATCTGTACTGGTGTTTTTAAAAAGAATGGATTCTTCTGGGCACAGAGGCATTCACCTGTAATCCCAGTGGCTGGGGGTAGGGTGGGGGGCTGAAATAGGAGAATCATGAGTTCAAAGTCAGATTCAGCAATGGTGAGGGGTTTAGCAACCCAGTGAGACCCTGTCTCTAAATAAAATACAAAATATGGCTGGGGATGTGTGGCTCAGTGGTCAAGTGCCCCTGAGTTCAATCCCTGGTAGCCCCCCACACACAAAAAAAGAAAAGATCTGAGGATGTAGCTCAGTGTTAGAGCACCCCTGGGTTTCATAATTAGTTCCAAAAAAAATTAGTTTGCTTAATTTGATGAATTAGAACAATTAAAAAACATTTTTTTAAAAGTTTGCTTAATTTATTTGAACATCTTTCCTCTGAAAGCTCTTTATCTGACACTGACCTTGAGGTCGCATCCGCTGCTGGTCTGCCCTCTCCCCAGAAGCTTTCTTCAAATTAGGTGCAGAGGGAAGGTCCTGGCCTGTTCATGGTCAGAGAACAGGGGTGTGGATGGTCCCCTAGTGAGGGGAGAGGTGATGTGATAATATCTACACCTCGAGAAAAGTGCAGAGGAGCTGCGAAAAAGCTGACTAGAACAGCCAGCCCGTACGACTATGGCACATTGCGTGTTACTATTATGTACAGTTATAATGCACCGATAAAATTAATTTCTTGAATTTTTTTTTTTAAAGTAAAGTGGAGAGAGCCAGAAAACATGATCCCTGGAGGATTCTCCCACAATCCCGCAGGGCAGCCCAGGAAGCAGCCTGGCCTGGTCATGTCCTTTAGTCACTTGATTAACTTCACAAGAACCCTGAGGACCAGGCCAAGTGCAGCTGACAGCTTTAGAGAAGCCTGAACCCGGTTTCAGGGGGCCACATTCATGGAGTCTGCTCTCACCAGCTGCCCCGCGGTTGGCCTGAATGCAGAGAGAGTGCAAAGGGTGGGAGAAATATTTGTGAATCATATATCTGGTAAGAGTCTAGTTTAATCTGGAGAATATACAACTCAAGGATAAAAAGACAAACAACACCCTGGACGGGCACAGTGGCACACACCTATAATCCCAGAAGCTCAGAAGGCTGAGGCAGAAGGATCTCAAGTTCAAAGCCAGTCTCAGCAACTTAGTGAGGCCCTAAGCAATTCAGCAAGAACTTTCTCTAATAAAATAAAAAATGGATTAGAGAGCCTACTAATTGGAAACAAATTCTTACCACATACATGTCAGATAGAGCACTAATCTCTAGAATATATAAAGAACTCAAAAATTTTAACACCAAAAACTCTTAACACCAAAAAAAAAACAAATAACCCAGAAGAAGATATACAATCTATCAACAAACATATGAAAAAATGTTCAACATCTCTAGCAATTAGAGAAATGCGAATCAAAACTACTGTAAGATTTCATCTCACTTCAGTCAGAATGGCAGCTATAAAGAATACAAATAACAATAAGTGTTGATGAGGATGTGGGGAAAAGGTACACTCATACATTGCTGGTGGGATTGCAAATTGGTGCAGCCAATATGGAAAGCAGTGTGGAGATTCCTTGGAAAACTGGGAATGGAACCACCTTTTGACCCAGCTATCCCACTCCTCAGTCTATACCCAAAGGACTTAAAAACAGCATACTACAGGGACACAGCCACATCCACGTTTATAGAAGCACGATTCACAATAGCTAAATTGTGGAACCAACCTAGATGCCTTTCAGTAGATTAATGGATAAAGAAAATGTGGTATATATACACAGTGGAATATTACTCAGCATTAAAAGAGAATAAAATCATGGCATTTGCAGGTAAATAGATGGAGTTGGAGAATATAATGCTAAGTGAAGTTAGCCAATCCCAAATAACCAAAATGCTGAATGATTTCTCTGATTTAAGGATGCTGATTCATAATATGATGTGGGAGATGGGGATGGGAGGATTAAGTGAACTCTAGATAGGGCAAAGGGGGAAAGAGGAGGGAGGGGAAGGGAGGGGAGATAAGGGTCGAAAAGACAGTAGAATGCAGTGGTCATCATTACCCTAAGTACATATATAAAGACAGGATGTGACTCTACTTTGTGTACAACCAGAGATACAAAAAATTGTGCTCCAAGTGTGTAATATAAATTGTAATGCATTCTGTTATCATATATAACAAATTAAAATTTAAAAAAAATTTTTAAAAACCAAATAACCTGATTAAAACATAGGCAAAGGCTCTGCACAGACATTTCTCCAAAGAAGATGGAAAACTGATCAACAGGCACAAGAGATGTTCCACATCATTAGGCGAATGCAAATCAGAACCACCATGAGATCCCACTTCACCCTCACTGGATGAGGAGATTTAAATAATAACAAACAACAAAAAACAGAAGACATCAAGAGCTGGTAAGGATGTGGGAAAATTGAAAGCCTCATATCCTGCTGGTGGAAATGTTAAACGGCACTGTGGAAAACGGTTCGGCAGTCCTTAAACATTTAAACATACTCTTATCACATGACGTGGTCATTCTATTCCTAGGCATTTATCCAAGAGAAA